CATTTCAGTTCTCGTTCACACCAAGATGAATTCAAATTTGTCCGTCTGTCCACTTGACTTCTCACCCTACTTCAGGATCCATTCTATTTGCAACTTTCTAAAACCGTCTCATTAAGTTGCAGTTCGCGTCTGAGGTCCTAGATTTATTTAATCGTAACACAGTTGCTAAACATTTGATTGCCCGTATTATTTCTCTCAATAATGAGAATCCGTTCTGGTTTGCTACGCATCATGGCTCACTGTGTTTATTCCTTATATTTGTTCATCTAGAGACTATTTAGCTACAGTTTAGATAACAGAAGATATTGTGGGTGTTATCTAATAGTTCGCCATACATTTGTCTTTTCAGAGCAGTAAGGCATCATTGTACTTTTATGTCGGAATTCCCTGGTGCCCCTATGGCCCCCATATTTTTCATCATCAAGTTTGCATTATACGGCCACGGAGCTTTCGCTCATACTTGAAAAGCCAAGCTGAAGTTTGTCATGTCCACAGTCAAGCGCTTTTCAGTGTGTAAATTGTATCAATTGTAAATTTATTAGGCAGGTGCATTGCATGAATAATTAGCGGCACTAGAATCTTAGTAACCGAATACTACTTTTGACCAGACGTACATTGTCGAGTGTCACAACTTGAATGTGCTACCGTTTTAAAATTATTATAACTGTAAATTAACATTATTGCATTAACCTATAAAACTTAGCAATGCTAATAAGGCCCATCTGATAGGAATATCTGAAACCTGGATATCTTCTCAGTTCTCGGACCATGAGTTAGCATTACCTGGGATGTCTTTGTTCCGCAATGACAGAAAATCAGGATATGTGGGCGGAGTAGCTGTATACATACGTTCTTGCTTGTAGGTGCTCCAGGTTCATAACCTCGAGTTTAACAATCTCGAGGAATCTATATGGTGCTCTGTAAGATTGTCTAGTACTTCGAGGTGTCTAGTCGGAGTCATTTACAGGAAGCCAGCTGTCGAAATGGAGTATGATGGTCGTATGCTGGAAGGACTACCCCTCTCTACTCGTCTCGGTTTCACACACATTCTGATTCTAGGAGAATTTAATCTCCCTAGAGTCAACTTCGCGGAACACACGTACGCTGGAGGCGACAACTCAATTGAAGCCCGGTTCTTCAACCTCATCGATGACTTGGGATTGTACGAAAATGTGAGGTCGGCAACTCGTTGGAGAAACAGTCAGACACCATCGCACTTAGACTGTGTATTCACAAACAGAGAATTTCTAGTTGACAGCCTCTCAATTCTGGCTCCCATGGGAAAAAGCGATCATGTCATCATAGCCTTCAGTTTTGTCAGTAAAACTAAGCTAAGATACCCCACCAATAACTTGCGTTGAAATTTTAAACGGTTGAATGTGCCAGCTCTACACGACTATCTACAAGAAGTAGATTGGGATGTTCACCCCCAACTCGATGTGGGCGGTCATTAAGACTTCTTAGCGCACACGCTCTTATGTGCTACAAACCATTCAGTTCTTCAAACGGCTCCCAGAAGCTGCAAGCCACCCACAATAATCAAGAACCGTACCCTTCGCCTACTAAGCTGCAAAAGACACTGTTGGGCGGAATACAAACGAGCTGACAACGACGGAGCGTACAGGCAATATAAACATATCAGGAACATATGCACGAAGGCTATAAGAGAAGATAGGCTTCAGTACCAGGCAAAGCTTATGGACAAATTTTCCTCTAATCCTAAAAGCTTATTCCGTTATGCAGCTTCTCTTCGTCAAGCCAAAACTAGAGCTTCCCAACTGGTAGGTCTTAACGGCCCGATCAACAACGATGGCGACGCCGCTTACCTTCTGGCTGAACATTACTCCCAGACATTTCAACCGACCGACGTTAACTTTACTGACGACAGTTTCATCTGCAATTCCACAGGACTTCCCGAAGTGGACCTCAGCTCTGACTTGGTGTTCCGGAAATTGCAGCACTTAAGACAAGATACTTCTTCTGGCCCGGATATGGTTCATACTGCCATACTGAGGGAGGTAGCCTCAATCCTGGCAATGCCGCTTAGCGTGATGTTTTCACACTCGCTAAGCCGAGACAAATTACCGGAAAACTGGAAGTTGGCTCACATCACACCAATTTTCAAAAGAGGTCGACGCAGTGAACCTTCAAGTTATCGGCCGGTGGCTCTTCCGTCATTACCTTCCAAACTCATGGAGTCTCTGATATGCGACGGTTTAAACGACTATCTACTGTCCTTACATTTCTTCTCACCCCAACAGCATGGTTTCAGGAAGGGTTACTCTTGTATAACCAACCTACTGACTGCGGTGGACAGATGGACAAGCATCCTCGATCGCAGGGGAAAGATTGATATCATTTACCTTGATTTCTGAAAAGCTTTCGATAAGGTTAACGACTTGTGACCTATCGGTAAGCTCAAACGACTAGGTATCAAACCACCTCCAATCGACTGGCTTACTTCATGCCTAAAAAATCTACACTTTAAGGTTGGGGTTAATTTCACTTTATCTCAGGATATGGAATGTCCAAGTGGGGCCCCCCAGGGCTCAGTACTAGGGCCTCATCTCTTCTTGTTCTACATAAATGATCGTCCTCAACAGGTAACGTCAGACTTATTACTTTTTGCCGACGACGTGAAACTTTGGAGAGAGATACTTAACCAAGACGATATACAGGCACGTCAAGAGGATCTGACTCGACTCCAAAGTTGGGCAGACGATAACGGACTTACCTTTAACACTTCAAAGTGTAAAGTAGTCCATCTGTGACATGTCGCAGACCACAGTTACAACGTAGGAAACTCCTCTCTAGCAGTATTCCAAGTCGAAAAAGATTTAGGAGTTCTGGTGCCCTACGATTTAAAGTCTTACGCTAACTGTGACAAAAATGCCTTCCGAGAAAACCTCGCACTGCTAACATTGAAGCGCATTTTTGGCCAGTTTGACGGAAGAACTTTCCATATAATCTTCAATAGGTATATCCGTCCCCATTTAGAGTACGGAAACATAGTATTGCCCCCCTCACTCCAAAAGGATAAGGACACTCTGTAGCGTATCCAATGACGAGCCACGAAATCAGTTCGAGGACTCAAAATTTAACCTTATGAAGAGCGTCTCCATTCACTTAACCTTTACCCATTAGAGTGTAGACGTCTTAGAGGTGACCTTCTGATGGCTTATAGTATCCTTAACACTTCTGGACATCCTCTCAACCACCTACTTAAGGTTAGTTCCAACACTAACCGAAGAGGTAACACCCAAAAACTGGAGACACAACATAGCAGAACGGACTGTAGACACAACTTCCACTCCTTAAGAGTTGTCAAATGCTAGAATGCGCTGCTGGCCGAGCTAGTCCAAGTGACTTCCCAGAAGTCCTTTAAGAGGCAACTTTATTTATTCTTAAGGATTAAGGATAGTATCACACTATGATTTACTAATTTCTTTTCCCCTTTTATTGTTAACATACCTGGGTTCCAACCTGGAGGATTTGGTGATCCCCTGATACTAGACACGGAGGCCTGCTTTCGCTTCCGTATAAAACCGATCATTTGAGAGGACATTCGAAGAAAGTCCAAAAACTGAGATAAATTCGTTTACGTCTGGAGTTCCGTTTCTCGCATCGAGTAGTGAATTACTGAAATTCTCTACCGAAACACGTTATATCAGCACCGTCTGTCAATATATTCAAAACGCGGTCGGACCTTCACAGTATTACAAACTGCAAGGATTAATATCGGTCGATAGACCTCCTATCCTAATTACTGAAGACTGAAGACAGACTGAAGACTGCTATGCGAAAGCTTCTTCTATTCCGTGCACACCCATTTGAACCATTTTGAACTCGTTGTTGAATTCACATGAATATCCGTTTATTTTCATTAATGATATCAATTTAACAGATCAAGTTAACAGATGAAGTACCTATCAAGTACCCGTACTTACCCGTATTTTGGTCTACAGTGTCATCGTAAACCCTATGTATCCACTTACAGGTCTGTTCATTCAATACTATTATTATTTCAATTCAAACTTATTTTAATTCAATATATTTATTACCACTGTACACGTCAAACAACTATACGGTTTAAATATACTTTAAAAGCATCGGCATTTGAGTCCTTATTTAATTAGCTCAATGTGGATTATAAAGTTAAAGAAAACAGATTTGCCTCGAGGCCCCACTTGGTTCGTTGTGTTTGTGGCCTTAATTTACATGTATACTTTCTTGTAATTTTGGTTTTAGATCACTATTGGGACTTTAATGTGCTTACAAGATCTTCGGTATCCTTTGAAAACAAAACAGGAGTGATCATAAAGTCTTATAAAAAAATAGTGTATGTTTTGTCTTCATGAGTATTCTTCATTTGATTATTAAGAATGGTCCACTTAACAGAAAGGAAAACAGAATAGTAACTTTGCAACGCCTACGCATCAGACTCAGAAAATTTCTTTCATCATGTTTGGAGCAGGAATTCTGATTTTGACTATTCATTCACAATTCAGACACATTAAGGTTCCTAGTTTATATAACGTCTTAAAGATGACACAGGTATTTGGAGTTTGACAATGCTTTAACCAGTAACACCATACACCAGGAATCGTACCTACCAAGTAAAATCAAAAGGCAGAAGCGAAGATGTTCAAAGATCTTTTTGATAAGCTATCAATATGTGGAGGGTCAACTGAACTAGACTAGCTAGCGATTGCAGGGGATATTGAGCATGTCGTTCCTACTCGCAATCTGCTGCGTATGCAAGACCGAGCGCATCCAATTAAGTGAGTCCATTAGAAATAATGTGGTCAGCATCCAATATCGAAAACATACAGAGCTACTTATTTTTGGGATTTACTTGTCACTACAGTTTCGTCAAGTTTTAGTCAACATTTTAAGATTTTGCTGACATTTAAAGACATAAAAAAGTAATGCACCATATCTTACTTATTCTTTCAATCATTTTACTGATGTGCAAAGTGTGTATCAATTAGTTGCCATGTTTACAAATTAGTTGAACACGTGGCAATTTCAAATATCTGAAACCTTGCACTTTCACCATTTTGTTCTGTTCATCATTTTAATCTGACTCTTTTATTTTTACGATTGTTCTCAGTTGCCTTGTTATTTATGTAAGTGCACTGCTTGTGGTTGCTGAGCTTTCGATACATCTTCTCTTATGTCCCTTTACTCAATCTCCCCATTTTACGGAAAATTTTACCCTTTTTGAGGAAGACGCTATAGAAAATTTTAAGGAAATGGCACTAAAAATCTTAGCTTTTCCTGGATCTAGGGAAATTTCTCGTCAACCTTGGTGAAGGTCTTTTGACTTTGGGGAATTTCCCAAAATTTCCTCCGAATTCCCCAAACTTGGGAGATTAGTTATATAGCCCTCAAGCTACTGTACATGCTTTCCTTGTACATAAAGTACTTTCTGGCTGCACGCGAACGTCTACAAAGGTGTGTGTATTAAAGTAACTCAGTTTTGGTCATGGGATCTCTTTAAACCTGGATTTTTTATTTCCGATTACTATCTCTTTGTTCATTCATGGAATATTAAGACATTCGTTGTGCTTGCTGAGTGATGGGCTTATTTTTCAATTTGTCTTCGGATTTCAACACATTACTCTCCACTTACGCGCTCACCACACAACGTAATTTCAGGCTGGACTCAGTTTTACCTAAACTCGAATATTTGTAACGTATGTTACAAGAAAAGTAACACTTCTGTTATTAAATTCAGACATACATTGACTTAACGGACATCTGCCGTTATATGAGCGAAAAAAACAGCAGATGAAGGGGAACTTTTGAAAAACATAGGCGACATTATTTTGGTAAATTTGGTGTAAATTGGGGCGAAAAGGCATCAAATTTTCTTTTTCCCAGACCAGGAAATCGGTGGGATTCCTATCAAAACTTGCTCACTGGGACGAAGTGTCTCATATTTCACACCCTAATCTTTGCTTGAATTATCAACAGACAGTCTAGTTCTCTCACAAATTAACGACCAATAGTTTTATTTCGCTCTATTTATTTACTATATTGTGTCTACGTCAGTGGGGAAAACTGTCTTCCCCAAAGTGAGAACCTTTCTTACCTTTATTTCTCCAGAATTCTACTTTATCATTTAGATGTGGGAAGTAATGATGTATAAGTCTCATCTAGTGGCGGATATCAAAGATAAATTGTAGTGTGGTTATTAGCAAAGATATTTGTGCTATATTCTCATCTCGCCACTCATTTGGTTTGTGTTTAGTAACTTGATCGTCCTGTCACTCTGCGTAGTTCTTAATTAGGTGCAAATTAACATGTATATTTGATATAATTTATCTTAGGAAACTTCAATAATCCTCAGTAATTTGTATGTCCTTGAATTGGTACTATCAATTTATTTTATTTTAAGCACTTTGTGTTCATTTACTTTGGGGGAAATCTATCCTTGTTATTTGGCTACACATTGAGGTAACCCACACTGATCATTCATTTTTATCTTGGTCCAGTTGATTATGTTCTCCTTTCACTTCTGTCTTTTGGGAACTCGTCACTTGTTCCACTTATTATTATAACCAACAAAATTGATAGATAATTTCCAGCATCTGTTGGAAAGCAATATTATATATTGGTTGTTTCCGTCTACGTATATATATTAGATAGGTTATCAATAAATGCCAAGAATAATAGCGTATAAACTTGTTATCTGTCTTGTTTGTTGACCGTTTTAAAGATCAAAATAACTTGCGAATAATCAATAATAGATCACCTTTTAAACTTTTAGTTTTGCCGCTCAGCAAATTTTTTTAAGCCAAATCTGCTAGGAATCGGAGATTTCTTCCTTGATTTCAGTTGACAGCTGGACAAAGAATGTCTTTTCTTCTCACTATATACGTTTTGTATTATTTAATATACAACTACGTTTTTTAGTGCAGTTCTTATTTTATTAGTCCTTGATTTTAATGTACTGAACTTAAATCCAATATATTTTTATGCAGCCTAAATACTGGTTGGTGTATTACCTCTTTGAAAGTTAGCTCAACACTTAGCGAAGCAACGAAAAAATGACATACCATGAAAATTCTTCTGAGTTTGTAGGTGAAAAAAGTAATTATATCGGGCTGGACGATGCATCAAATATTCGACCACTTTATAAAAACAAAATTCATAATCAGTGTGTAAGTTTTGTATTCCTTCTATGTTACTTTAGTACCATTTAAAGAATAAATTATAGATAAAAAGCTTGTGTTACTTCTGTTTTCCCCTTTGAAATTAAATATTCTTGTGTTATTGACGAATGATAGCGCGCCTAAGAACGGTGCGAACCTCGAAGGGATAAAACGTTTTCCTCAGGGGTTTTGTCGGACGATTCTTTAAAATCTCTGCAGCAGTCTTCCTTAAACTCAATGTTCATTAAATGAGTTCTTGCAAATTGTAATTTTGGTTTCACTTTTCACTCAAAAAATCTGGATAAGTAGGGATTTTTGAGAAATATCTGTCGGGGCTTGTAATGTTTCTCGTCTATTGAGTCTTCCAAGCATATACGCCTAGCCGTTGGTGATAAAATTAAATTAGGTTTCTCCTTCTGTTAAATGAAGCGCAGCTATGAAGATTCGTATGTTGTTCATTCTGAGTTGGTTTTCGATATATAGACCTGTATAATATACCATCTTGTCTAATTTCTCATAAGATATCAAGGAAACGAAATTTCAAAATCGATTCTGATTTCAATTAAATCTGATGTCAAGCATTTATAACATAGTCAAACCATTTTCTTGTCTTTACTTTATTTTGAAATGTTTCTGTGAGATTAGTTATGGAGTCGATTATTAAATGGAAGTCTAATAATTCGTTTGCATCGATTTCTTGCTCTAGAGGAAATTTTATTTCATGTTAGCAGGGTTTAGGATAAAATGTTCAGATTGTCATGCTTAACGAAGTTTTGCAGCCGATTGATAATCTGAAGCTAATTGATACTCTATAAAATCTTTTGGGACTATTTAAAAGTAATTATGGGTTACCACCAGCTTTAATTTGCTTAGGACTGTATAAAATTGTCACCAGTGTTAATAAATGATATTACTCCTTTAATATAGCGTCTTGCTGGTCCAACGGGTCAACAAAGCAATGGGGCTGTACAAGATTTATCTACAGATTTCCTAGGTTATGACTGGATAGCCTCTATGGTAGATAATCAGATAAGGCCCATATGCACAAACATTTCGAATCGCCAAGTAAACGTATCAGCAAATCACTATATCGATGATGAAGAGTGGTTAAACCAGCGGGAATTTTTCGACAAACTAAATGCATTTCGTCAAACAAATTCTGATCTTTGCTGTTCTCAACGACCTTTGAGGTTAGTGTTATGTTCAAAATTAACCATACCTCTTTGTTTGAAATTTTGTCATCTGTCAAGTGCTTTTTTTGGTGAAATAAAAACTTGAAGTGAAGTTGAAAGAGATTGTCAATTCTCTGAAAGAACTTTGTGTTTGTGAACGTATTGTTTAGTCCTAACGTTTTTTATTTTATGCATCCATAAATAAAAAAATCAATACTTATTTCAAACGTTTAGAATTATTATAATGTAATATTTGAGTTGGTTGTTCAGTTAACTAGCTCACATAACTAATCCCAAAATCCTGACTGGATATATTGGAGGATATCGAACTACTGATCAGTTCGGTTTATATTAAGGAATTAAAACTGTTTTCTGTAAATACAAGCCTTGCAAAACAAACATTTTTTTTACACTTCGCTTTTCTTATATACAATATACTAGTCAACATTTCTACGGTACTTTAATTGTTCTAACAAGGCTGTATCTAAAATTTTATTTACTAAGTATATTAGCCGAATAATTGCAATTTTACTTTTACTTGCTCTGGGTCATAGATCTATGAACACATTCTAAAGTGAGGTAGCTAAGTTGTATTTGTAAATTCCAAAAGTTAATACTTTCATTCTTATGATATATTTTGATTTGTGTATGAACTTACTTTTATTCCAATATTTGAAATAGCATTTTGTGTTATTAGGAAAAAGCGTATACGGTATCTGAAAATAATTTGTGGATAAACCAAATAAAGGTTTCTTCCAAATAATGGCATTTCTCAGATAAAATGTACTAGTTATTCTAATCGAAAAAAGCCAACGTGTAACTTAAATACATAATAAATTGGATTTAATATGGTACGATAAAGGTTATAATAATAGGCTTTCGATTAGATCATAACGTGGGAGTCCACTGCACCAAATTTGGTTTGAACAGCTTGGTATCATTGTGGTGTATCATATGTGTGTCTGTCGACATTAGAAGCATGTAACACCAATCGGAAGTAAAAAACCGAGCAGCGGAAGTCTATGGAGGTCGACTTGAAGTAAACAGAAATAGAAAGTAACTGTGACTTGGAAGAATCATACATAATTTGAAGCACAAATGATGTAGTTTTGCAAATGAAGTGTTAAATGTATAGTTTTCATATTTTGCCAAGAGATTCTGTAATTATGTATTAAAATACAATCGCACCACAAGTTAAATATAGCTAACAGAAGCTTAAGTAATACTTCAAAGAAGAACCGTCAGGTTAAGATTTATCTCCAAGAGGGTAAACCATAAGTATAGTCGTTTAATGTGTTTTTCATGAGAACTTAGGTTAAATGAAAATCGCAGAACAAGCTCATTATGATCTTGTTCTCAGCTTGAATTTTATCAGTTATTTGATTGTTTTGTAAGTCTATGAATACTCTTCTTTTTCTATGTTCAAGCCTCCATAAAACATCTACGAAAATCAGCCATAACAAGTCTACGTTAATGAATGTTAGACAACGTGTTCGACCATTACCACCAATTAGAACAAATATGTTTCCCAATAATGAAACTAACTTAAAATCCCCAACAATTGTGCAAAACTACACATTAAATTCAAGATTATTTCCAGTGAGAACAGATGTTTTAGCTTGTGATGGAAAATTCAGAGAAAAAGCTGTTGGTCCGATAGTTCTAAGGTATTTTCACTATTTGTGTATTGTTTTAAGTACAATCATTTCAAATTTTTGGATATTACTTTAACAGTCAGACTTCTGAAATATCTTTCTAGCGAAATAATCCACTTTGATTTGGGGCTGGGCAGTATGTCAGCTCACACACAAATATGGTGATGATTGCTAATAAAAATAAGTCTGCTTGGTTAGCCTCATTATCCGCGCAAACGACGTCCACAATTTTCTCTCTACATCCAGATTTAATTCAATTGGCTCAGATTTATATCTTCTTTTATTTCTAGTTTGTGTATACTTTTATTTTACAACTTACTTAGCAGCTTGTCTCTGTTGAAAATTCTGTTTTTTGTAAACAGCTTCAAGTAGCTGAATAATGTCAAACTTGTACTTTTTTACAGCTACATATGTTACACAATTCTCACATACATTTGTTATGAAACAAATAGGATTCATTGAGACGCGTTTCAAGTCACAATTAGTGGTTAATTTAATCAATTCTGACGTAGATATCTCTAGCACAAATTTCTTCTGAATTTTGGGATTAATGTTAAGAAGGATGAAGTAATGAAAATAAAAACGATACTGTAGTGTAATAATGTTTCACAATTGGTTAAAATGCACTCCTTTAATAAAGGTACGCAAAAACCACATTTATCAATGTTATTGCTTGAATTTCGCATAAAGAAAAATCCAACTTTTTAGTGGAATCAACAATAATTATAAAACTAGTATAAATAAATAGATGTCTGTTTCGCTGTTTTAAAAAACTGTGAGGTGCCATGTCTTTTTTATTTGTATATATAAAACCATTTACTGTCAAAGTAATCTGCATCCAAACCTGGCAGTGTAAAAATACAACTTCAGAAAATTCATTGCTACAAAGCAGTTGTCATTTATTTATTTAAATCTGCTTTGTTCGAATGATTAAGATACCACCTAGGATTGGCAAACGAAACAAACGTCAGCAACATAGCGTACCAAAAGAGAAAGCAAACCGATGACATTCAAGCTCCTTTCAAGTGGAAATCAAAAACGGAAGGTAAACATGGACGCTTTCTGCGCGAAAACGAGAAATCCGAATTTGCATAATAAGATTGCAAAAATAAAAAGTTTGCCAATTGATTTATGGGAATCTAGAACCATCAACAAAATCTATTTATTTATCTTGTTTTCCTACACTCATGTTTAAGCGTACGTACTATGTATATTTTGTCTTGCAGACTCAATTTACCGGTATTCTGATAGCTATACTTAACATTTTATAGGCATAATCCTGTGTAACTTTATTATTGTCTGTTTCGTTGACTTACCATTTATCTCTTCTTTCTAGAAGTTTGCAAGTTTGAACTTATTCAAAATTAGACAAGCAAATATTATTCTTATTACCTTGTTTCTTGTTATGATTATGAATATAGTTGGTAAAATGTTTTGTTTTTTTTTCAATTCCAGAATTTCGATTCCGTCTCATCGTTTGAAAAATACAAAACTCCTAAATGATTCATTTATTATCTACAAAAAGCATAATCCATTATCAACATCATATCCATTTAAAAATACTATCTCTCTAATAGGACATTGTGATTATTCAGTAGAAACAAAACGTTCACAATAAATATCTAATATATTCAAATGACCAATTATATCTCGTACATTTGATGCATTTGCATCTACATTATTGTTATGATAAAAATGATAATGCCTATGCATGATGGATAATTTAAAAATGTATAATTCCTATTTTGTTTTGTAAATATTGTATATATCAGTATGTTTTTCCAAAATTATTATACTTTTTCAAATTAAAATTAATTTGATACAAGTGAAGCCTTTTACCATATTGTTTTGTATGCTCGACGTTTTTCTGACTGGCATTTTCGGAGTAAGAGAACAAATGGTTACTGGTCACATCTACCATTATGTGTAAAATAGGAGCTTTTTAATTACTGTCCTTTAAAATTAGTGGTGGCCTGAGATAATGTTGCATAACTAGTGACTAATGAGTTCTTTTACTACAAGTTAAAACGTTTACGTAATTTCAAAACTTCAGTTATTTGTATTTGGAAAGTATGTAGTGACTTATCTATTATACAAAACAGTTGATTTTGTTATGTTTCTACAATAAACATTTCGACTTGATTACTATAGGGATGAATAGCAATATAGATTAAAAATCCGAAGTTAAAAAACTGGCTCTATTTCACCAGAATTTAGTAGAAGGGGAATGCACCAAGTGTTGATTGTATGATGATCAGACAATTAATCTTATTAACTTTAGAACGATCAAACTTCAGTAGCATTAAAATTCCACATTTATGGTACAGTACGACGGTTTTAACTGATATTATAGATACTACAGTCTTTATTATACCCACAGGTCTCTCAATAGGAAATTCATCAGTGTTGCTTATAGAACAAAAAAAAATAACATAACACCTGTAGTAACTAAATGAAATTTTACCAATATAATGGAAAGACAGAAAGACTTATTTTCTTGTTGCAATATATACACGTTTTTGTTTTCATACTGATACAACAAAACAAACACTTGCAACTCGGACTACATCACGGATTTCTAGACAGTGACATTTGTTTCACCTAATATCGGTTGAACGATTATTATTTGTAAATTTGTAAACTTTCCTGATTGACAGCGTAGGTAGGTTATTGTATGATTCTACGAAGTAGGGTAAAAACTTTAATTCATGATTTTAATTCAAGGTTGGATTTATTGAAAGCTATAAATACGTAAACATATCGAGCTGGATGACATCATTTTTGTGTAGTCTTCATACATAATGAAATATTTTCCTAGCATAATGTTCTTCATTCAGTACTATACTTCTAAGAAAAAACCGAAGCGTATTCTTTCACAGGACGATAATTAAGTCTTATAGCTGTTGGAGAATGAATCACCTATAATTGTCTTACCTCCCGATTATTTGTCTTTCGAATATCTTTTATTCATGTTTCCAGTATTTTGCCTGTAAAATGTTATTTTTTCAGAACTATGGAACTTATTCTATTGGTTATTTGTTTTGTCGTTGATCTGAAATCACTCGTTAGGGTTACATCAATAATAGGATTCTTTAAAAAGCAATTATTTGATTAAATCATATCATTTATGTATCACCTATCGGTTGGAATGCTATTCTGTTATTTCAATAATAAATGTATTTGTTTTCAAAACTCTTTATTCATAACACATTTTAGCACGTTTTAAAAATTATTTTCACTCTCATATATTTCTATTGTTTTTCAATATCATAAATCATTTTTACTTTTCAATTATTATACGTAGCACTTACTAGAAGCGTATATTATTTATAAATGTATAAATAAGAATATGATCATTGTCAAATCCTATAAGTGATTGTTGTTTCCCAGGTTTAATAATGTAACTGAATGATTTGGTTACACTTATAGTAATGTTTACAATAGTAATAAAACATTATACATTAAAGAGTATATTGTCATTACCTTGACACTTCGTAGATGTAATCATAAAATGTCATTTGTTATTCGTTAAGATTATTGTTATAATGATAACCATTATTTATTTCGTTGTATTCATGATTAGAGATGATAACACCAAATAATCGTATGCAAAATTACTCTTAGCTTATATTATAGTTTTTCTGATATTGAAAATAAAAGGACAAGATAACTGAAGTGTGTTTTGTCATTTATTGGATGTTATACACCTCAGTCTTCAGTAATAAAGATAGTAGGTTGGTGAACCTGTGTTAATCCTGAAAGATTGCCTCCCAGTGAAGGACCAGCTTCTCCTTGAAAATACTTACTGATGCGGCTGATACCACTTGTTCGGGTAAGGCGTCCCAGTGATTGACTACTCGATGAGAAAAACGGGACTCCACTTTAAGTTTATTACATCTCGGTTTGTGAAACTTCATGCTATGACCTCGGAGATTAATAGTGCTAGAGAGAGCAAAATGATAAGACATATTGACACCCAAATCATAATTAAAGATACGAAATGCCAGTATAAGGTCATCTCACGTCCTTGGGTACAAGGGATAAAGGTTTAGGCGTTCTGAACGCTCATCGTAAAGGAGTTTTGTTCCTACACGCTGAATCCTTTCAAGTGGGTTATTATCCTTTATCAGACATGAGTTAGCCGCTTGGATACAGTACTTTAAGTGTAGTCTTACATAAGTGGGATATAAAACCCGGAACATTTTGTCGTCAAAGCATTTGAATGATCGGCAAAGTGACCATAGCGCACAATAATATTTAGCAGCAACTTCGTTGCAAGGCGTAGTTGCTTTCAAGTCATGACTTATTATTACTCCTAAGTCTTCATGTTCTTGAATGCTAATTAATGTTGAAATATCTTTATACAGTAGAAAATAGAATATCATTGATACCTTTTTAATTGAGTGAAATTTCATTTAAACAAAAAATTCTATAATATAATACAAATTTGTAGTTTAACCGAATATGATCTATAAATGAATGGGAATGATAGGTTAATATTAATAAATAATATGGTATATTGTGATAAAAAAACGAAACGTTATGTAATACTTATGTATGGTAACATTTTATTGGAAACCAAGCTATTAGTTAAAGTATTCAATGAAAATAATTCTTCCAAAACAGACAAACAAACCAATTCAATGAAATGAGATAATTTTTCAAAATTCACTGTACTGTTGAAGAAATCTGAAATTATGTAAATTTGTTATTTTACTGGAAATAATCTGAATATGATTCATTGTTGAATAAGTGAATGTTATACTTTTGATCTAAAACACGAACATATCATAAACACTCTGAAATGAAATTTAAGATGAACTATTTTATTTAGATTTACTTCTCACTGTTCATCAGAATTACGCAAATGAGTAAGAGTTAAGAACATGAAATAATCTGGTGTTTCTAACTGTTAACGAATTGTCAGATGATATGATTATTGATCCTCGTCGGGCTAATTGATGCACACTATTTACTTTCGACAGTAACTCAAATGAAATCAATCCTTGACGATTGCAAACTCACAAATTAAATACTCTCCATAGATCCCCCTCATTTTAACTGGATCATGCTTAATATGTCACAAGATAACTAGGTTTTATTATGAACTCTAGTATGCGTATTCTAGCATTAAGAAAATGTAACCAATTTTAAGTAAAGAAATTTATATTGTTTTGGTGTTAGTTTTGTAGTCTCGGAAGAGGCTTTCACGCCTTAAAGTGATTAGGATAACCAGCATTTACCTAAATATTGAAAAAAGGTTTTTTCCAGACATTTTTCAATTAGATTTTTACGTTTAGTTTGTAAAAATTCTGAATTAAATTATTTATCATGGGATATATTAGACATTTACATATTCGACAACATTGTAGTGAAGGAGAACATAGGTGACGACAACCGAATTATATTTCACACAAAATTACAGAGTTACTTGGTAAAATAGAAAAACCATACTATTTGCAAAATGTTCAATAATTGTCTCGAACTTCATTGTTCTTGCATTTCCATACTAATTAATTTCTATCCCCGTTCTTCCTTTCTTAATGTTCCCCATCTTCTTCTGCCAAACATTACATTCCTGACTCGCGTCATATACTACTTATATCAATATAAGTAGCACGCACCACAACACAAGGTACAATTAAGTGGTCATTTTACTCACTATGATATATAAATAAAATTAAAATGTTAACGGATAAGTGAAAAGATAAAACGCACTTCGAACATGAAGAAAAACCCATTCTTTGTCATTGAGACTTCAGTCTATTATAATTTTGTTTACATTGTTTTTAGTATTTAAAGCTTCTGAAAAATAATTTGATATACGAAGGTAAAACATACGAATGCTTTTAGACAAGAAAAACAAACCATGTTTTTTTCCCTTAATGCTTTATTCATGTTTGGTTCTACTGCTGTTATCAAAAGTATTCATTTTTATAGATCCGTTGGTTTGTGCAACATGATCCTTAGTTTTGATAGGTTCTCTTTAAATTTCATGTACGTGTTTTTTTCTATAGTAAGTATACAGAAAATCAAGTTTTTAGATTTCTTTAAATTTTGCGCTACTTTTCAAAAGTAATGATTGTTTTAGATGAAAAACTTTTCTTTGTGGCATATTTTACTTCAATTTTATCTTTAAGTAAAAACATACGATGAGTTCATAGTCTTCATGAGAAAAAATTACGAATTTAAATGTTGCTTTGGTGTAACACAAAAGACTCTATGATTTTCTTTAAAAATGAGGTGCTAAATAGAAACTATTTCTTAAAAATCTTGTGACATATTGGATAGTTCGTAATGCGATAATCCTCAGTCACCCATGTAACATTAGGCAGAAGGAGATTAACTAAGAGTATAGATTCATAATAATAAAATACTAACACGTGGTGTAATTAGAAATTGGATTTCCGTACTTGTACACGATTCATGAATTTTAACGCTGCGCACATGAAAACTAACAGTCAAATGAATGAAACAAATGGTTGTCAATCGTTCACAGCACATAAGCAGTAATTAAAACTTCTAAACAAAAAACCTCGAAGCATCTACAATATCGTTTTCTTAGAGTACAGGCATCAATGATTAGCTCTATGTTTGAAAATTCGCTGGATAATAACA